ACTCCCCTCCACCACCACCAATGTGCAGCATCCGCCTGGATCCCCCCGTTTAATTGGGGGTGTTTAATTACTACACATGCCAATATACATATTTAGTAAATAGATTATTGTCAAGCCAGTATTTTATAACTAACTTACAAGTAGGCTAGTTTGCTTTTTTTAGAGATAATAAATATTTACACGATTAACCTTTTAAACTTTCTTTTTTCAGTATACACAATGCTTTCCTGTATGTCCCAAAGGTGTAACATGTTGTTTCATTAAAAAAAAAACTTCCTCTGTGGCACTGCTCCTTGATATTAAATCAAACATCTGGGATAACCACCAGAGGCATGTGAAATTCCAAGGGTGGGCTGAAGATTACTGTTTGTTAGACACTAGACTAGGAAAAAAAAATGTCCACTGTCTACCAAAGTTATTTGTTATTTCTGTGTATTTGACAGTTCTTTTAGAGAGTATGAAAGGTCACAAGTGTCCCATTAGTTTTCTTGCCTTGTTTTTTTAAGTATCAATCTACTAGCCTCTTGTAGGTCTCAATCCAGTTTAGAGAATATTAATCAAAAGCCCTGAAACATTTCACTAAAAAGTGGGTGAGGAACTGTCATATAGTTCATAGTCTTGATGTTCTTGATAAGTACACTGAAATTAATATGAAGTGACACTGCTTTGCATGTGCTTTTAATATGTTTTAGAAGTATTATCGCTTTTAGTCCACAGTATAATAGGATGCTTCTGGATCCTTCTGGATGCTTTTACTTCATCCATAGTGACAACTGGCATTGTATTGTTTCTGTTTTTTTTTTCTGATTTGCTGATTTTAGCGGGGAAAAATTACTCTTTGTGGGCTTTTTAGTTAAAAATAAATTATTTGAATACCAGAGCTTTTATAAAAATTAAATCACCCTTTTAAAAATGTCTTACTGTTTTGTTATATAATCTTATAAAGGAAAGCAGTATTTTTATAAATATGTGATGGGGAGTTCCTCAATAGTATCCTGTACCTAATTTGATTTTTTCAGAGGAAGAAATGAGCTTAGATGACCTTTTAATTAAAAATTGTCTCTTTGGAGTTTTACGGGCAGCACAAGAAATATGAAAGTCCTAATTTAAAATGTGTTCTTGTTAAAATAATTGTATTCAAGTTGGGATAAACACTAACAATTGTCAGTAATAGTATGAAGTACTCTAACTCTGTACATATGTAAAATATAACATGGTATATATTTAGCATGGAATATAATATAGCATGGTTTATATGAACTTTTATACAAAAGGTGACACAAACTGTGTTGAATGTAATTACAAGCAATACTATGATCAGTTTTCATAAAACAGAATGGTCTGGATGAGAGCAGCACAACATTTGGATAACTGTTCAATATTCCATTATCTTCTTATGAGCTGTTTTCCCAGGTTTTATGTAGAGTTGACTACAGATCGCATTTGTGTAGGTCTTGTGCTAGTGGTCTGAATGACACTTTTTTCCAAAGTTCACTGGATACAAATATATAGGGTATAGGGTCTGAATGATTTAAAAACAATTATGAGTCTTAAGGGTTTGCAGGAGCACAAATATTAACAGAGCATTAGCCAAAGTCTAGCTGTTAATTCAAATGCTTCAGTCCACTTACTGAAGCAGCAATACAGCACAATGATGAAATGGCGACTCTTCAGAAATTAACCTACGATAATATTCAACCTTATAAACATTTGTCTATGATAGTGTTTCCCATTTGCTGTTGAAAAATCATAGCATGTAGGTTTTGCTTTATCTCAAGGGTCATTTCATTCAGTATCAGTCTATGCTGACCAGTGTACTTGAGTGATAGAGAAATTAGTAATACAGTATACAGAATTAATTTTAATTCTCACATAGAATTAAAATTAACCTTCCAATACTTTCTGTAATAAGCATAAGCTAGTATAACAGTTCAACATGTATACAGTATGGTGTTAATGAGGTTTCCAGGTTTTACATTTGGTCATTAGCATTAATAGAGATTCATGTAACACATCAGATGGAATAATATCATTTTCACAACAGTCATCAAGCTAATAAATGGTATGCCTTAGAACAGTCCTCATTACATATCAGAAAGTGAATGTAATTTAAATATGCAATGCATGTATTTTTTCTGATTATTACTACTGATAAAATTACCGATGAATATGACTCCACATTAAAAGAAAAGTCATTGCTTTGTGTGGCCAGCTGATGTCCCAAAGTTTCAGGCATCACTGTACCTTTTGTTAGTTGTTAAATAGATATTAATTCAGGTTGGAAGAAAAAACCCTTTTCATTCTATCCACTCAGAGCCTATTGCTCTTCTGTTTCTCTTGGACATTAAGGTCTCTTTACTGTGCCAGTTAGCAAATAGTTATTACAGTGTGTTTGTACAGTACGTGACTCTCTCAGGGTGTGCCACACTTACTGTTGTACAGCTTGAGTCAACGTGACCTTACTGAATTAATTTGTATTCTTCCTCAATTCTGGTTAGAAAAGTTGTCTTAACGGTTTCCAGTGTTAACTTCAGTGTTCTGGCTCTTTTTCTACTTTCTGTTTGTCATTTCCGATGCCTAAAATATACAGTATACAGATTGTGATTACTTTAAGAAGAATCTGTTTACACATCCTACCTCAGAGGCATCCATGCTATTGTTTGGAAGGTGTATGATATGAAATAGAGAATGTTTTTCTTTGAGGGGGAGGGGTGTTGACTGAGAATGATGTCATTCGTAGATAAAGCAGTCGCTGCAGTAAGCAAATTGATGGTGCACTCACCTGACTTAAGACATTTTTGGGTTTTTTAATAATTAAAATCGGAGCTCCAAACCCAAATAAAGCTGGGGTGTCCAGTACTGCTCCTGAATGTCTGGTGTGTCTGCAGGTTTTCTCAGCAATTTTAGAGCAGCAGCAGCAGCAGCAGCACCTGAAGAGCTGGAAGAAGCTGTTAAAACAGTCCAGTGAAGGCAGTAACCAGCTGGTTCAGCTCATTAAGAGCCGAGTTGGAATGAAACCTCATAGACACACCATCGTTCCAAGACCAGGATTGGACACCCCTGAAATAAAGGGAACAGATGGCACAGAATGCTAACGCTAATGAAGAAGCAGAATCAGTAATATTTAAAGAGCTGCTGATCACTTCATCATAAAACTTTGTGTGGAGAATGTATTTTATTTTATAGCCGTCATTTAGTGTCCTTATTAAAACATCAAGACCAAAGACTTCATCATATAATATGCCTCAATATCAAGCATGTATTCTTTTAAAACGTTTTTGTAGCCTGACGTTTTTATCTGTGCTTTGACTCTACATGGCCTTAATGTGGAAAATTCTGTTAGTTAAATAAACTTCATGCATTCCACGTAAGTATTTTGGGATTTTTTTTTAAGATGTCCCAACTGATCTTACTATTTTAGCACTCCCAGCTCTTCATTGGCAGCATCTATAGAAACAAGAAGTGTTTAGATTTGCCACAGTAAACTAGCACTGACAAGCAGCTGCCCTGAGAAACTGGATCTGGAGAAAGTCTTTTAATTTGCTCCCAATTTTGTTTTTAATTTAACCCTCTACCACAATGCCTCAGTCTAATTATATTAGATTAATCTGTTTAAAGAATAATAATAAGGGTCAGCATTCATATGGCACGTTCAGTGCCTGGGACCTTTTTAATTTACCTGACCATCTCAACTTTTGTAAGATAAATTCACCTTGGGTCTCGGAGTTTGGAAAAAGCGAGTCATTTTTAAAA